TGCATGGGAGTTGACCCTATGTTTATGGATGATGTCATCAAAGGGCAGAACACAGCTGAGAAGAGGGAGTGGGACAAGGATCCTTGTGTTAACATTGTGGGTTGGAAAGATAATTCATTGATGGAGATTTTCTGGCTAAATTGCTCAGGAAAGAATTTGATGGACACTAGAGGTTAGCAATTTAATGAGGGTGGTATAGTTGATCAATGCAGAAGATAGATGATGGAGGGATAAAATACATGCTCACAGTCACAGAAGGTGTAGTCTCTGGGTCTTACATTATGGCAGTTTTGGTGATGTATCCCAACACAATGGAAAGCTGTCTGGCTGGATAGTTACAGAGCATTGGGCACAGATTTGGGACATGACAAGAGAATTTGTGATGGTAAGATAGTTTGCAACGATTGAGGGTGTATCTTTGCAGGAGGGATTGACAGTAATGACAATAGGTATTTTGAAAGGAAAGAGAAAGTATCTGAAAAGAGGGTTGCTGATACAATAACAACTTATGAATCAGAGGAAAACTAGTAAAAAGACTGTAATATTTGGAAATGAATGCATTGATTATAAAGAAAGGCTGGATAGCCTGGGACCTTTCTCACTGGAGTGGAGGAGGTTTGTAGAGGTTTATAAAATCATAAGGAGTACGGATAGGGTTGATGGTAGGTATATTTTCCCCAGAATGGGGAATTTCAAGTCTAGGGGGCTCAATTTTAAGGTGAGGAGAGAAATTTGAAACATAAATTAGGGGCAATATTTTTTACACAGAGGGTCGTTCGTGGATTGAACTTCCAGAGGAAGTGGTGGATGCAGGCACAGTTACAACATTTAAAAGACATTTGGATAAGTACATGAATAGGAAAGGTTTGGAGGGATATGGGCCAGGAGCAGGCAGGTGGGACTAATTTAGTTTAGAATTATGTTCAGCATGGACTGGTTGGACCAAATGGTCTGTTTCCATGCTGTAGGACTCTATGACTCTGTACCGGACCAGTTTGTGAATCTGTTTTACCGGCTTTTCCTTCCAGGAAACAGAATTGTGATCAAGTTGACCTGTTGAAAATCAGATATGCACTTGTGAATTTGATGTCTATGTCTAAAGATTTTCATTGAATGTCATAAAAGCAATGTACTGAAATAATGGATGTAGCTACTGCTGGGAATATTCAGTTTATATTCAATGTTGCAAGATCCACTGCTTTCAACCTATTTAGAAATAGATCTTTGACACCGTGTATTAGAAATTTAGGGACCACATATCTCTATAAATTTCTGTTCTCAGAGCAGTGATTGATAGGAGAATTGTGCATACAGATAGAACACGTATTTAGAAGCACTGAAAAAGTTGAGAAACTATCAAGTCACTGGTCGGTTTTTGCTTCAAAAGGTATCAAAACCAGCAAGTCTTTGCCATATGAACAAGGCAACCTCTTCCTGCCACAATGCTGAACCAGCTGGGTCTGTTACATTGCCACGCACAACAACTGAGCAAGGGCCACCTACAAGAGAAAAATTAGCAATCTCCCCTTTGTGTACAACAGCACTTTCCTTGTTGAATGTCCACCATGAACGTCTTTAATTGAGGAAGTTTACTATTAAGCAGAAACGTAATTGGACCAGTCATATAAGAACTGTAGCTACCACAACAGGTCAGAGGCTGGGAATTTTGGGACCAGTAACAAACTTTTACTCCAAAATGAGTCTCTGCCATCTACAATACTCAAGTCGGCATATGATAGCATGCTCTCTAATTGCCTGGATGGGTGTACTCCAACAATGCTCATAAAGCACAACACCAAGGTATTGCTTGATCCACACCTTAATTATTCACTCTTTCCACCACCAGTGCACAGGCATATGTTACCTATGTGTGGTATCTACAATGAAAGCAAAATACTTTAGATGCTGTAAATCTGAAACAAACACAGGGATTCATTGCCAATTCTCTTTGAGATGTGCCCACTTTGAAGATATTCTCCTCTTCTCTGTGATGGGATTTCCATTTTAATCTTTCAGCTTGTTACACCCTTCTTTTTACATCTTTCTTTTCCCACTATTAACAACTCCTTTGCTTTTTGTATTGGGTCTCTATACCATCTTGTTCTTCCACTGCCTCTGTCAAAAGTCTAAAAAAAAGACTCTATTTCTGATACCTTTCAGTTCCGAAGAAGAGTCATACCAGGCTTGAAATATTAATTCTGTTTCTCTCAAATGCTCCCAGACCTGCCAAGTTTCCCCAACATTCTCTATGTTTGTACTGTCTACAAGTTGCACTACAACAACTCATCAAGGCCCTTTCATAAGCATCTTCCAAATCCACAACTTCTACCAGAAGAAGGACAAGAGCAGTAGCAACCATCACGTGCAAATTCTCTTCCAAGTCATACACTGTCCTGACTTGGAACTATATTGCTGCTCCTTCACTGTTGCTGCATCAATGAACTTCACCACTCCCCTTAGTAATGTTGTGGCAGTACATACACCACATGGACCACAGTTCAAGAGAGCAGCTGACCACCTTCCCCAGAGCAATTAGGGATGGGCAACAACTCCTAGTCTAGCTAGTGATGGCCACGTCCTCTGAATGAATAAAAATAAATTGATGTTGCAGCAAACTGAATCACAGCAACATTTGCAGAAAACTTTATATATTGTCCTTTCAATAGTATGTCACACAGCAGTAATAGTATAGAAATGCCATTGTCTATTAATATGCAAACTACAGCTGATAAACACAGCAATGCACCAGATTAAACATACACTGCATCTCACTATTGTCTTCAAACGAGAAACAACAAACTATTTTAAAACTTTTAACCAGTAAGTTGAATTTTGTGAGGCCAATCAGGGTACATTGAAAAATTATGGTTTCTGTAGATTTTAGGATAATTCAAGTCAATGGAATTAAAATTACACAACAAGGCCTATGTTTTCCCCCATTATGTATTAACCATGTGAGATCTTTACAGTGGTACAGACTATTGTAAAATTCACTGTATTTAGTTTTGTATTTCAAGTAAACTGCATTATTGATGAACGATTATTAAAAGTTCTAATGAAATATAAAGGCAGCCCAAAAAAAGAACTGGTTCACCAGAGCCTGTACTCTTTCCTCCAGTGTCTGTTGTACTAAATCTGATTGATCGTCATTTTCTGTTTGCTCCTGTTCCTACACCATGGCTTATGACTGTTCAGGTCGGAAGAAGATGTCTAATGTTCTCTTGATAGTCATGTTTTACAGCATGCAACGTGCCCCTGGCTACCACCAGTTCCTTGCGAGGCATTTTGTAGTGCCTGCCTTAATACATACAATCATTGGAACTATTGTTTGAATATGAGTCTGTGAGATCCTAAGAATGGCACAGAGTCTTGAAGGAAGTTATACTTAACGATGATAAAATTCTGGTTAGATCTCAACTGGAGAATTGCATTCACTTTTGCATTTCATCATTCAGCATGAATATCAAGACATAAGAGCAATGCAGGAGAAACTTATTACAATAGTACCAGGGATGAGAGCCGTTTCATCATGGGCATGTCAAAGCTCATCCATGAACTGTAATCACTTGGGTAAATATCAAAAAAATAATAGCTCATAGAACTAAACAACAAGACATAATCCCCTATGTCTCAAGACACAACAGAAAACAGTTCCAGAACCCACTGGGAAATGAATTTTTAGAAAACACATTCAGATAATCTTATCTTATATGAATTTACTCACAAAATAAATGTTGTGCCAAAAAGATCCCCTGATTTATTTCCTTTCTCTATTTGTACAAAGTCAGTCAATCTATTCTTCCAGGCTATTGTAATGTAGACCAATATTTCTCAGGACCCAGTAAAGAAATTGCCTTACCTGCAGTATCCAAAATACCTCCAGTAGCTGTTTCTGGTATAACTAAAAGATAGTTTCAATCTACATTGCTCTTTCCCTTGTGTCATTTTGATTTAAGACTGTAAGTGAATGAAATCAGTTTATCCAGAATGTTCGTGTAGTTACCATAAACTGAAGCACTTCAGTCTTTCCATTGTAATTTGTTTATAGTAAAGAAACCAATAGTTAAGACCTGTGGCATCCCGTTTATGCTGAACTGTATATCATCAAGTTGCCACAGATGGCAAGAGCAGAGGCTCTTTATCTAGATTTGATATCAAATTTATTCAAACAATGAATTAAATTAGGGGAATAATGCCCTGCATTAAATGACTATTGATCCTTTCTGGTTATACAGCATACAGTATGATAGTCACACAGCCAGCGATGGTCAGACACTAATAATTTATGTAAACTAAACTGTGAAGCGTAGGTGTTATACCAATTCTTTTCCATTTTTTTTTCCCCTCATCTCCCAAAGATGCTTAATAGTAGCGCAGCCAAACCTCTATGTATCAGCAAACAAAGAACCTATCAATTTTGGATCAGTTAGTACAATGAAGTTTCTAATTACAGATACAGATGAGGCTGTTAAGTGCAACATTTCCCATTGATATGTGATTGTAATCTAATTATACACAGCTTTCTTTTAGTCATATGCATGTACAGAGATTTATGTTATATGTGTATCTTATACTAAGTGTTATTAACTAAGACATGAAGTCAAATAAGGCAATCTGCATGCAGGGGTTAGCAAATTATTAATCTTCAATTACAGAGTGCATTATTACAACTCCACATGTAAACAATGTAGTACATTACCAGCCTTTCTTATGTAAACTGTTATTAAGGACCTATGAAATATTTTAGAAGCTTATTTACGTATATATAATGCTATTGATTCTAACACTATTGTACTACTAATCAATAATTACATGGGTCTTACATAACCAACTGTTGCTTGGAAGCCTGTAACTGGCATTGATAAAGTGTGATTTCTGTGTGGAAGGCACGTCTTACCATGAAAATGGGAAGAAATGTCTTAATGTATTAATAAGTAGTTTATTGGAAATGATTAATGAGTAGAGATGTTAGACATAGAGGTATTAAGGCAGTTACTTACGTTGAGTGTGCAAATCATCTGCAGAGGTTACTTGGGGAAGGTTTGTGCCTCTGCTGCAAAATAAAGGACAACAATAGTGTGAGAATCCAGCTCCGGATGTAGGCTAATGAATAAACAAATAAGGAATTCCTCCATGAAATTTTTTTATTTATTAGGAATGACTGATTGGATTTTTTTGACTATGTCATTTTGGACTCTTTCTCTTCCAAACTTTGGTTTTCCTGAACTTGTATCAATAAATCAAAAAACAACATGATGAAATGCAAGATTCATACTGGATGTAGACGTCTAACTCTACCCCTAAAACTAATGCAGTTTAGATACTCAACTATTGCTACCCAGTTCAATCTCAAACTATACCTGCATGAATGTCACACTCCTGAACAGATGGAAATGACATACAGCAAAAGACTAGTTGGCCAATCAAACCTCTCCCATCTACTAATGTAAGCTGGGCACCATGGCTAGATACTTCATACTGATCCTCCACACCACCCCCACTTCAATTATGTAATCTCCTGGGGCAGGCATAGGATTTGAGGAAGTTTGAGGTCCATTAAGAGAAAAAGAATTATGGAGGAATCCTCTCTGGCTCCCTGTGCAGGTTAGAACCTGCACAGAATATGTATTATCAATAAAGTTACTTGCCTTCTATATAAAGCAATCACTGCACCAATTTAAAATCAGCTCAGCCCCTTCTGGAAAATTTGCAGAGAGACTGGAGCAGCCGGCAACATATTCCTGACATATTTCATTGTTCTCAGGGATAAGAAGAACAACTTAATATTCAGTCTACTCCCTTATATAGTTTAAATGCATGTTCACAGGTGCCCCTCAGTCTCTACAAGAACCAGTTAACCTCCTAGTTCTTTCATATTGTTATAAACGTATCAGGTTTGAATCTAAGATTGATAACAAAGAGAATGATATGCTCTGGTGATAGTTAGCTGATGGGCTAAACAGGGTTAGAAAACAGCAAGGACTCAATGTTGAAGTAGAAACAGCATTCATAACTTTAAAATCCAAGGAATAATAGTAATTTGTAGTCTATTAGTGTCCAGTGACTGTCCTGTCAACACATATATAAGGCCCTGAATGTCTGGCACCAAGGCTGAATGTTTTGAATTGTGACTCACTTAGAACCAAGAAGCATAAATGGAGGAGGGTGCAGTGATTGAGAGAGTGTTGAGGATGTGGGGAAGTTACATCAAGTATGAGGATGTCCCAGAATTAAACAGAAAACAATCTCTCCCGTCTTCCACCCTTTCGTTTTGTCCTTGTCCCTCCCAATCCTTGCTCAAAAATATTTCATTTCATTTCTAACTTTTCCCAGTTCTATTGAAAAAGACCTAAAATATTAACACCTTTTTACAGATATTGCCTGAGTATTTCCAGAATTTTATGCAATGATTTCATATTTCAGGATGCACAGTTTTGTGCTTTTAATGAGAAGGTACCATGTTAGAGTGGACTTCCCACCACATACATATAAACAAGCCCTGAGATATCACTTACGCGAATTCAACAGTGCCCCTTCCTGGCAGATGGGGTTTATACTTGGTATGAGGCTTCGGACTTCCTTCCGCTTCGAATGGCTACATGGGAAAAGTAAAAACAGAGGAAAGAGAGTCAGTATCTGTTTCTGCACTGTTGGTAAAACTCACCAAACAGTTACAATTCACCAGAAAAAAAACCCATCAAGACATCAGTTATGTTGAGATCATGATTTTTTTCACTCTTTCATGGATATGGGCATTTTTGGCAATGCCTTAATTTGCTACCTATCCCTAACTGCGCTTGAACTGAATGGCTTGCTTGGCCAGTTTCAGAAGCAGTTAAGAATCGACCACATTATAGCACATCTGGAGTCACATGTGGACCAGACCAGGTAAGGATGGCAGCTTTCTTTCCTAAAGGATCAGTGATGATTGTGTTGAATAGCAGGACAGGGCGACAGGCTGAATGGCCTTCTTCCATTCTGACAGGTGAACCTGGTGGATTTTTACACAATCGATCATAGTTGTCATGGTCACTGTTATTGAGATTAGCTTTATATGCCAAACGTATTAATTGAGTTTTAATTCTGCTAGTCACTGTATAGAGATAAGAATCATATCCCCGGTGTATTGGCCTGGACTGCTAGTTGCCTAGTCAATTGTTATTACATTAAAGATAAGCGATAGTTGTTTAAATAGAAGAAAAGTTTAAAGTAGTCTTCCATAAAGATCTGTTTTATTTTTAACATTCATTCATGGGATGTGGAATCATTGGCTGGGCCAACATCTTTTGCCCAGTCCTAGTTGCTCTTGAGAAACTGGTGAGCAGTTGCCTCTTGAACTACTGCACTCCATTTGCCTTAGATAGATTCTCAATGCTGTTAGGAAGGGAGTTTGAGGATTTTGACCCACCAATAATGAAGGAATGGTGATATATTTTCCAAGCCAGAATGGTGACTGGCTTGGAGGATAGTGTTCCCATGTATCTGCTGCCCTTATCTTTCCAGATGATAGTAGTCATCGGTTCGGAACATGCTGTCTAAAGAGTGTGGGTGAATTTCTTCACTGCATCTTGCAGATAGTACATGCTGTTGCTACTGATCATCTGTGTTGGAGGAATCAAATATTTGTGGATGTGATGTGCATCAAGTGGGCTGCTTTATCTTGGATGGTGTCAAGCTGTTTCAGTGTCATTGAGCTACACTAATCCAGGCAAGTGGGGAGTATTCCATCACAATCCTGACCTGTGCCTTGTGGATGGTGGACAGGATCTGGGGAGCCAGGAGACTTGATACTCACCACAAGATTCCTAGCTTTTGACCTGTTCTTGCAGCCACTGTATTTATATGGCTAGACCAGTTCAGTTTCTAGTCAATGTTAACCACCAGGTTCTAGATATTGGAAGAATTCAGTGATAGTAAGGCCATTGACAGTCAAGGGACAATGGTTAGATTCTGTCTTGTTGGGGATGGTCATTTCCTGGAACTTGTGTGGTCCGAATGTTACTTGCCACTTTTAACGTACACTGTGTTAGGAAAGAGTAAGTCAACAGTAAAACTTGCAGAATGAACCAAAGGTATAGTTAACACTGAGGAAAACTGAAACATATTGTAAAAAGCGTGAGCAGATTCTTCCCAGTCACTGAATGATGTGGCATTGGTGAGAAAATTGGGAGAATTGCATGAGATTGTCAGTGAAGAGTTTCCCACCATTGAGAGCAAGAAGTCTCATTTTCCAACAAGTGTTGTATAGCAGGATGGCATTTTCACTGGTGAGTGGTGAGAGACCTATTTACATACAGCCATAGAGTCATGCAGCATGGAAACAGACCCTTCAGTCAAACAAGCCCATGCCAACCATGTTCCGAAATTTAACTCGTCCCACTTTGGCCCATATCCTTCCAAATCTTTCCTAATCGTGTACTTATCCAAATGTATTTTAGATGTTGTAATTGTACCCACACCACACTTCCTCTGGAAGTTCTTTCCACACATGAACCATTCTCTGTGTAAAACAAGAAGTTAGCCCTCATGCCCTTTTTAAAACTTTCTCCTCTCACCTTAAAAAACAAGATATGCCCCCTAGTTTTGAACTCTCCCATGCTAGGGAAAAGACCTTTGCTATTTCCCTATCTACACCCTTCATGATTTTATAAACATCTAAGTCAGCATGAATCAACATACTCATTATTATATCATCTTGCCTCATTCATACACATTTTCTCATTTTCCCACCAGCCGGAAAGGAACTAGACAATGACTATTCCCAAAATGGAGAGTAGTTACCTGGTGACTCCAGCTCACCTCTTACTCTTCCAGACCTCCATCAGTCACCAACATCTCAGCACATGCTCCCTGGACAGTGACTGCATGCACCTCTGTCCAGCAGGACCTCCAGGTCCCCCTTGGCAAAGTGGGGTGCCAATTACTGTGTGTGTATCATGTCCAGGGCAAAGAAACAGAAATCTGCAGACTGCCAACACTTGGCCAATTGCAAGGCAAGGTTTAAAAGATGGCACTGGTGCCAGGAAAGCTGGATATCCCAGCAACGGTCAATGCTTCTGCCTGTGGCCAGTGGGAAAATACAGTGAACAAGACCCAGAGGACAATGATGTGTGGGTAATGAGGAGAGTTAGGAAACCTGCTGAGGCTCTTGGAGAGAAACCCTCCATGAAATTTGCCAACATTGAACCTTAGACAATTTCCAGTAAGGTTCAGCCCACTGAAAAACTGGCACAACATGCTGTTAAACGGCAAAATACTCTAATATAGGTAAAGGTGAGTTGATGCACATTGGTAGGAAAATAGGAATGTCACCTGCACCTTAGAACATAAAATAGAAAATTCCTTAGAAGAACAAAGCGATCTAGGGATGCAGGTGAACAAATCATTCAAACCAGATTTGGAGGAGGTGCAGTAAAGCAAATATACTAAGAAGGCATTGGGATTTATTTCCAGGACAATTGAATCCAAACATACTGATGTTATAAAGGAACCAGGAAATATAAATGCAGTAACTGCTTATTGCTACAACTCGGTCAATATTTCAAAGATAACCTTGGTTCCATCAGTGCTACAATCAGGGCCTGTACTATTAGATCTGTCTAGTTGATCATACACCATATTGCTTTTTGAATGTCCTGACACAGGTCACTCTACTAGTTCTCTGCTACTTGCCACATACAAAGGTTGACATTGACATTTAGTGGGTTTTCTTATTTTATAGCAGCTTCCCCAACTCGTCCCGAATTCTGTAGGAGGAGTTTGTTAGTCCTGAATCATAGAACCTCTACAGTGTGGAAGCAGGCTACTTGGCCCAATGAGTCCACACTGACCCTCCAAAGAGCACCCCACCAAGACCCACTCCCCTACCCTATCCCCGCATTTATAAGGCTAATCCACTTAGCCTGCACATCCCTGGACACTACGGAAAATTTAGCATGGCCAATCCACCTAACCTACACATCTTGGAAGGAGTGGGAGGAAACCAGAACACCCAGTGGAAACCCACACAGACACAGGGAGAATGTGCAAACTCCACACAGTGACCCAACAGTGGAATTGAACCCAGGTCCCTGGTGCTGTGAGACAGCAGTGCTAACCACTGAGCCACTATGCCACACCCTGGTCTGTTGGTCTCAAAAAATGCTTTAAAAATTAATTATTTTGCAAATGTCCATGTTCATATCTATTGTAATGTAGAAGACATGGAAATTTCAACGTATAACCTTGTACTTTAGGAAAAGAGAAGATAAACAATGAGCAATTTAAAAGAATTGGTTGTTAAAAGAACAAGGAAAACTTAGAATTGATGTAAGAATATAAAATAGCACAGCATAACAAAAGTCTATTTTTCAACCAGGACTGCTACTTCTATGAGTTGCACACAATCTTTCTTTCCTGTCCACTTTACTTATTAATCCTCTCCAAATTAAGTTCAGTGTAATGGACTATAGCCCTGAATTACTTACAGATTGTATTTTTAAGTAAGACAAGTTTTCTTTTTAGGAAAATAAAAACAAAAAGACATTTAAGCCAAAAATAGTTGGGAACATACATTCCAGTGATTGGAAAATTTCCATTTATGTTCTAGAGGATGTCAAGGAACTTCAGACAGAGCCACTTCAAATGAAGAGATGCAATGCAAAAGCTAAACTATAATTTCCTTTGCTTGCACAATATTATTTACCAATTACCATTCAGCAGAAATCACATCCTGTGAGTTATATCCCAGATTATAGCTATGATGTGAGCTAAAAGGAAACAGTTCTGGGTTACAAACTTGTTTGCTTTCCCCCTTCCAAGGAAACAGAAGGACTTAAAAACAATTTGCAGCCTGGGTCTGTGTGTGATAGTCTGGTATTCTAGTTCTAGTACTAGCCTGGTGTGTGCTGCAGAAGTCACAGCTGAAGCACATCTGCTAGACACCTCTAATCTTGCAAGTAAAAGAAAAATCTCTCTCTCCCCCTCTCTCTCTCTCTCTCTTTCTCTCTGTAGTTACTGGAAGCAAGTCAGCAAAGCCATTGTCAAAAAGAAAATAGTTCCTTCTGGCTAACTTGTAGAACTGGGACTCTCCTGATCAACTGTTCAACTTCTGACATCAAGGCAAACAGCACCACACAACATAGTGGCCTTGTGTTTCATTATCTCCTCTTCATGGAACAAGACAAAGATCGATTTACATTTTTTTTTAAGTGCTATCTGCTTCTTCACTCCGTAATTCTAATCTTCTATGTGTGCATGTGTGTTGCATTCTTCCTTGCATTTTTGTAATTAATGAAATCACTCTCTTTCTTTTATCCCAAAAAAATCTGGTTAAGTTGGCTCCTTTTAAAACACATAAACAGGAACTGGGAAAGTTATCCACGCGGAGAGGGATCCCTTGTATTTAGTTAACCTTAGTGTGACTAACAGAGGTGAGGTAGGACATTGCTGAATAAGGAAGGGGAACTAGTTAGGGATGTTCTGTTTGGAATCCTGATGAATTAGGACCCTTGCCTGGAGACTGGTCATAACAATACAAGTGACATTCCTGACAAATCTGTCTATTTTTCTTTGCATCTCTGTAAATTAAATCCTGTCCCCCACAGATTCCTCACTCGCTTTCCAGCATATGCAGCATGTCGCATCTGAAGAAATATTTGATTTTCTTAGCCTAGAGCTTTTAATTTTGTTCCTAACAAATAACTTAGCAAAATATAATAAAGGTAAGGCAACAATTGATGCTATAATGAGGTAGGATTGCAGAAGAATGGAAAACTACGAATTAAATGTCCTAATCTTTTGCTTGATACTGGCCTCAAGAAGGACAGAGACTGTTGTAGTATCTAGACAGAAGCCTTGCTCGCCTTAAGTTCAGCACACTGTACACAAATGCCATTCAATCACTTTCTAATCTTAACCTGAAATTTGTGTCTGCTGACTCATAGAACTCAACAAATTTTGACAAATGAATGTATGAGTTATGTGGCATGTCTCAAGAGTGACAATGGAGCTTTATGTTTCAGATTAAATCAGCATGCATTGTCCAATGATATATTAACGATCAGTGAAACTGAGATAGTAATGGTTAGGATGCTCAGTGATCACAAAACACAGTGTGATATACACAGCAAGACTTTACCTGACCCCCATGTGCTGTCTTCTTTTCATGCTTATGATTGAGGCGTACTTTGGGGCTGCAGGACAATAACTCGCAAAGGTCTGTGAGAGATTTTTTAAAAGGAACATTAACATGAAAATATTTTGACTGCATAAAATCGTTTTGCTCAATGCCAGTATTTGTTCCATTTTCCTAAAATTTGTTGTATGGTCTTCGCATCATCTTTGATACCTTGAAAATATTTTACATAGTTAGATGAATGGAAATGGGAAAACATTTGTAAATACAATTAGCTCTTCTGTAAAATGTGTTTGAAAATTTGACAAGTAATTCCTTTAGCCTGATCTTATTGATTCTTTTTAATCTGGAGGTTAATGTTACAACCCTCTTTCCCACATCAGTTGAATCCTCAATCCTGAAGGCTGAGCTCACAGAATTCTCAGAACATTAGGAATTGGGGCATGAAAAGACCACAGACCCTTGAGTCTGTAGCCTCTTCAAATAAGGTCATGACTGACCTTCTTTCCCCCTTCTCTTCATTCTAAACCATGGACCCCCCCCCCCCACCTTAGACTTAAAACATCAATCTTGAATACATGAATGACTGAGCATGCAAAGATCAATGGGTGTAGAGGATTCCAAATATTCATAACCCTCAGAGAGCAGAAATGTCTTCACATCCCATTTCTAAATGGAACACCCTTTATTTTAAGACTATGACTTTCCCTAGTTCTAGGGGGTGAGGGGATGGGGTTAGTTTATTGACTTTGATCCTGTCAAGCCCCATAGAATTTCAATTAGATCACCTGACACTTTGTTTTTTAAAACTCCAGTGAATATCATGATCTTACTTTTTTTCTCTGATCTCAGGAATCAGTCCAGTGAACCTCCACTGTAGCCTGTCTAAGATAAATATATCATTGCTCAACCAAAGAGACCAAAACTGTAAACAGTGCTTTAGGTGGGTGGTCTCACCAAAGACTCATATAGCTGCAGTAAGACTTCCTTTCCCTTATACTTACTACACCCTTGAAGTAATCCCGGAGTCCAGGAACTAACTAAACCTTCAGACTTGGAGCTAGCTCCCTTAAGCTTTAAAAATGAAATAGTTTCAAATGTTGAAAGTTCATTCAGGTTATAAGTAGTACAGGATGTTTGGCTGATGGCTAAGTTGAACAGAGT